AAAGGGAATAGAACTGCACATTTGGTGTTACTCAGTGAATACCTTTCCATAACTCAGTAAAGAGCAACAATATTTATGGAATTTACATGAAGGATTTGCAATCCTCTCAATTTTCTAGATCCAGGACAGCAAATAGATGTCATGCATAGAAACTGCTTAGAGTCCAGCTTGATGAAAATGGTTCTCAGGCTTATTCTGAATGAAACAGGAACAAGGACCAACCATGTGTGTCTACCATAGCCTTGTCGTGGTGACTTGTGTGATATATATATATATATATATATATATGCCAACTGTGATCTAGACATGTTAAAAGTATCCCTGCATTAACATCAACCAGCAAAAAACCGTGTATCAGGACCACACTGTGACACCCCTACCAAACTGATTTGCCTGCACTATTAATACATGTAAGTATTCATATGTCAGCGTACATTTGGGAAAATTAACAGAAACAGAGCAATGAAAATTATTCTATTTCATGTAAGGATGCTTATCATTTACTATATTATACAATAGTGTCTATATAAGAATCCACAGGAGAAATTTCTTTCAAGATTCAGTGCCAAGAATATTTTAATTTCATCTCGGTGACTGGTTGGTTTTTATCTTGGGGACATTATGGCTCATTCTTTTTCTCCCATTGGTATTGCTACTAGAAAACTCCAATAAAGCTCATCCTCTAGCACTGGGTTAGAACAGAACCCCTGCCTTCATGAAATCCATTTTATATCATAACCTCACCCTTGATTTCAACTAACTGTTTTTATCCTTTTTTTATATGCTTTTAATCTTGTATAAATGTTTATTTCATGTGCTTGACAGAATAAGACAAAATATAAAAACATACATTTCTCAACCTAGCTGAGTTACTTGAGCAACTCATAATCTTCCAGAGACGGTTTTCTTACCCATGAAAAGAGAGGTTATTCCATCCTAGTTCTTTTTTTTTTTTTTTTTGAGACAGAGTCTTGCTTTGTTGCCCAGGCTAGAGGGAGTGCCGTGGCGTCAGCCTAGCTCACAGCAACCTCAAACTCCTGGGCTCAAGCAATCCTCCTGCCTCAGCCTCCCAAGTAGCTGGGACTACAGGCATGAGCCACCATGCCCGGCTAATTTTTTCTATATATATTAGTTGGCCAATTAGTTTCTTTCTATTTATAGTAGAGACGGGGTCTCGCTCTTGCTCAGGCTGGTTTCGAACTCCCGACCTCGAGCGATCCGCCCGCCTCGGCCTCCCAGAGAGCTAGGATTACAGGCGTGAGCCACCGCGCCCGGCCTTCCATCCTAGTTCTGAAATATTTTCTTCTATTTAAATTAAAACCAGAAAAATAGTAACAAATTAATTTTATGTTACCAATTTTTGTTACTATTTTTATTACTATTATAACAACACAATAAGGAGTATGTGTCCTAATTCTGAATATTCCTGATGACTTGGTAATTGCTAACCAGGAGTGACTTGGTAATTGCTAACCAGGAGAGACTTCTATAACTCTCTCATTTTGAGGGTAGGAGGTAGAAAGTGAACCTTCCTAGAAGGGCCAATGATATCAATAAATAGGTAAATACACTGCAGTTCACTTGCATACTTAATTACTCTTGAAAAGGATAAAGGCCACATATAAATAAATACACAGTAAATGTTTTTTGAAGAAGATTATCAGCATAGAAATATTTCTGTGATTGTATGTGCCTGTGAATGAGCATTTATGGAGCTGGGGTACCTACTTCAAACAGGCATGGCTTTATTTTTCAACTCCTTATTCTTTTGAACTAATTTTGAGTTCTTTTGATTCTAATTTTAGAACATTTTCATTACCACACACACAAAAAAAAACCCCAAGCTGATTAGCAGTCATTCCCCACGCTTACCTCTTGGTAGCCTCTGACAACCACTAATCTACTTCTTGTCCCTATGAATTTCAACTATTCTCAGTATTTCATATAAATGGAATCATACAATATATGGTCTTTTGTGACTGTTTTACTCAGCATGTTTTCAAGTTTCATCTATGTTGCAGCATGTATCTATCAGTACTTCATTCCTTTTTGTTGACAAATAATAACCCATTATATGGATATACCATATATTATTTATCCACTTATCAGTTGCTAGAAACATTTACGTTCATTTGTGTGCAGACATATGTTTTCAATTCTCCTGGGTATATACTAGGAATTACTGGGTCGTATCATATTTTATTTTTAATTCTTTGAGGTACTGCCAAACTGTTTTCCAAAAGGGCTGAATCATTTCATATTTCTACCAGCAATGAATGAGAGTTTTAATTTCTCCACATCCTCAACACTTGTAATTGTCTTTTTTATTTTTAGCTATGCTAGTGGGCATTGTGGGCTTGATTTGCATTTTCCTATTGACTAATGTTGTTGAGTATCTTTTCATTAGTATATTGGCTTATCTGTGCATCTTCTTTGGAGAAATGTCTACTTAGTCCCTCTGCCCACTTTTTAAACTGGTTGTACTTTTTTATTGTTTAGCTGTGCGTTCTTTATATATTCTGGATACTAGTCCCTTATCATACATATGATTTACAAATATTTTCTGCCATTCTATGGATTATATTTTTACTTTCTCAATGGTGTCCTTTAATACACAAAAGTTTTCAATTTTCACAAAGTCTAATTTATTACTTATTCTTTTGTCTTTTATGCTTTTGATGTCACCTTTAGAAAACCACTGCCAAACTATAGGTCATGAAGATTTATACCTATGTTTTCCCCTAATAACAATTTCTTAATGTTGACTCTCATTTAGGTCTATGATCCATTTTAATTTTTATATATGGTATGTGAACCCCATTTTATAGAGGAGAAAACTAGGCAAAGAGAGGCTAGGCAATTTTCCCAAAGTCTCAGAGTATGCAAAGGCCAAGACAGGATTCAGATCGAAACAATCTGGCTCCCACTTTCCCACCATTATTATATTACTTCCATTTTACAACTGGATTTTTTCTTGTCAGAATATACATAAACTGGCAAATTATGTGTGTTTTGCTCTTTTAATTATCAGTGAGTAGAGAATGTAATGGAAAATTTCTAAGGAAAATGTCAATATTGCTACAAAAGGGATCAAGTTCCTACTTTACCTGAAGAAACATTGCAAAGACACACAAAAACTTTAAAAAACAAATCCAAAGTCTACATGCTATAAATCCTAGAAAGTTTTTATTGCTTTTACAATTAATCCATTGCTTTTGGTAATTGAAATCATAAGAGAAAATTGCACCAAACATTTCCTTTCCTCAATATACAAAGTCTATGTTCATTGACTTTATTAATTTATATCTCCCTTATATTATGTGATATTCTGTGAAAAGTAACAGATTTTCAAAAGGTGATCATCTTAAAACTAGATAATGTCTAATCTACTATTCCAACTATGTTGTATCTAAAGAAATTTCACCAAAATTACATGTAAAGATATCTATTCTCATGATACCCCTATAAAGCAGGATGTGGGTCATTAATACGCCATTTCACATGAAAGTCCAGGAAAATTCAAAACGTTAATAGCTTTGGCAATATTAAATAACATTAACATAGATTTAGACATTGGTCTAGCCAAAACTATCTCAGGTTTCTTAATATCCAATGTAACATTCTACCCACTATATATCATCAGCTCATTTAGCACAGCAATCATTAATGATTAAAATCAATTAAAATTCATAAAGAACTATGTGTTACCCACTGTGTAAATGAATTACATTATATCAGAAAAAGTTCAGAGCAGTGAATTAAATAGACCTTTCAATTCTACCTGTTCTAGGGGCTTTTTTAAAATCAATTAATTTTATCTAAGTGACAGTGGTTATATATTTCCCAACTCTACTTGCCTATTTTATTATATACACAATTTAACACATAGTTTGTTGCAAAAGAAATTATTGGTTAAATGAAGATCAATCTGCCTGTTTGTACTTTCTTGCTGACTTAAAGCTGGATTTTAATTTGTGCTGCAGGTTTCTGTTAATGAAACTGTCTATTTAAAATAACTCCTAAAGTCTATACCATTAACATAATAGATACAGCCTCTCAATAGAGGCTTTTTTTAAAAAAAAAATGTTAACTTGAGGCTTCTTAATAGATGCCATTCACAAAGAGTTGTTTTCTTTTTTTAATTTCTAATGGGAACACTTTCAATGATCTCTATAATTGAAACCAATCTATACACTTGGCCAACATGAAGGGGTCATTAGAATTCAGAAAAGATTGAAGCTCTAGGCTTTTCTCTTTGCAACGGCACAAATAAGTTTCTGTGAGTAGCAGCATCGCAAATTCTAACACAACACTGGCTACATAAAATTAATTGGGTGACCAACTGGAGAAAACTCCCCAGAAAGTTTTTCCCTGAACATTTTAGCATTCTGTCCACTCCTGACTGAGAAGTACACAAATGCTTATGTCACACTTTGATTTCTCAGAACAGAACCAAAGAACAGGTTCTCTCAAAGGCTATGTAAGATCTTCCCAGGAGCACCATTAAAGGAAGTGTCCCCTAATGCAAGACCAAGCATAGGTCATGAATAAATTCATTCTTCAAAGTATAATATGCTCAAAAATATTTCAGTCATTTATCATTTTCTGATATGCCTAGGAGAAATGTAAATATAATAAACATAACAAAGCTCTTTGGATATGAAAAATTAACACATTGGTTGCTGGCAGAATAAGTTACTCTAAAGGCCAAAGAGATGATGCAAAGGAAAGTCCTTTAAGTAAGCAATGAGGCGCTTGAGCTTCAGGCTAAATAGGGGAAAACATTCTGTAGAAGAAAATATTAAAATAAGGTAATATATTTTAATTATATTTCTCTGGAAAGCTAAAGAATGTAACTTTCATACTCTAGTCCAACCGTATTACAGAAAGACTTCTGCTTAGTGGAGAAGCAACTGGGATTTGGAAATTCTACTTTTTAAAAAGAAAAGTGGTTACACCATAATAAAAAGGAAGATCATAACCAGGGTACCTGGGTTTACCTTTGCTTTGCGAAAGTGGTAGACCACCAGCATGCTAACGAAGTCGAGCAGCATACACAGGGCTTGGAAGGAGATGATAGCAAGTCGCAGATACTTATCCTCCTGGACAAAGCACGGGCTGTCGTCAGCACAGGAGGGGCAGCCCTCCCTGCAGGGCAGGCAGACATGGGCTTCTTCCGACACATCCTTTGAACTTGCTGAAAAATGGTGATCCGGACCCCTTTCTGAAAGTTCCAAATAAAACCACAGTGTCATTTGCACCCCTCAAGTAGGTAAGATTGAGAACAGAGTCAAAACACATCTTTGCCTCTTCATTTCTTTTCCCATTTATTAAAGGTCTTTTGTCAACCCTCTTGCTAGGGGAGAAAGTTACTTTGCCTTTGTACGCAAACAAAATTATTTTTATCCCTTTGATTTTAAAATTGTCATTCAGAGTAACTGAGGAAAATCAGCAAAAATCCAAAGAAAACTCCTTGAGGGCAGGCAACAGCTTTCTAAGTTTTTTATTTCATTATCTACCACTCAAAAACAGACAAAATTCCTTAAAGCACAAGTCATATTCCATAAACATTTGTTAGAGAATTAATGAGAAAGAGAGATAAGAAAGTCAATGTTTTCATGTACCAAGTACATATACTCATCACTTTTGAAACTTCTTGACCTAGACAGCACAGAATGCAAAATAAGGCTTTAATTACTCCTTAATTGAGCAGGGATCCCATCTACCAAGTTCATTAGGTCCAAATTTTATAAAATGATACTTAATCAACAGGTATTCAGTGTGCAACTGCTGAATGATGGTGTATCCTTTACCCAGAGTATAGTCCATACTTAAAAGCTATCAAGTAATTTCTTAATTACTCTGCATAATCTGAGGACATTTTCACACTATTCAGTTACTGCTGCTGTTGATCCTCATTTTAATTTTAGATTCTTCTGTCTCAGTTATCAAACATAAGTTACCTCTGAAGCCCAATAAGTAAAGATTCTCTTTAATCGTTGAGTTTAGCAACAACAAATATCCAATTAGTAACAAATTACTTTTTTAAAAACCCAGCTATTTCCAACTCTGAACTCCAATGCTGAACATAAAAAAACATTAGTGAATACGTACCCACTTCAGTATATAATACAACTCTGATTAACTGAATAATGTGGGAGAGGTTCTTCTGGATAACAGCATTTTAATGGCCAGAGTAAGAGGAAAGGCCCAGAGCAATTTGAAGTGATAAAAAAAACACAAAAAACACACAAAACACAAAAAAACACAAAAAACAGGTATCTAATGCAGACACAAACTTGAAGAATAACAGAGCACCAAGTCAAATATTAACAGCAGGAGAGCCTAGGATACTGAGAAAACAATGAGTTAACTCTTGAGTACAACCTGGATAATCATGTAAGTGAAGCCAGAGTCACCATCCTTTATAAGATAAAGTTGTCAAGGACTCAGAAGGTCTGATGAAAGGGACTAAAATGTCAAGAGTCACAGAATACCACAGATTAGGAGGTGATGAAATATGAGCTCTAAAAATGCAGATTTGCCAGACAGAGGTTAGGATTTCCCCCTTCTAGCCAAGATGGAAGAATAGAGATTAAATTTACCTTGCCACCAGAAACAACCAAAAACAATGGACAAAATATTGAAACTTGATGGTTTTATAAACACTGGATATTAGCCACAAAAGAGCAATTCCAAACAGGTGCAAACAGTCCTAAAAATTATCATAAAAAGAACAAAAGTTAAATTAATTTTTAGGAAGCATCTGTAAAAAGTTTTGTTTGTTTTGTGAAATAGTCCTTCTTAAGCCAGAGTTTGCTTTCTTGCTTCAGCTAAATAGGCTGACATTTTCTTGTTGGCTTAAGCTCCTGGTTACATTTAAGCCAAACAATGTATACTGTTTACTTTCAATATAAATAAAACTTGGACCTTCACACATTATCAGTAAAGGTATAATTCTCCAAGATGGGATGAGCAGGGAACATCTTGAATCATTGAAACCTGAAAAATATTGCTGTATGTTAACTGCTTAGTATATTTGAGCTTGTTAGTTTTTGTAGCATATGACTGCAGCAAGCTGTCTTAGTCACATTTTAGCTATTACATTTGACAAGTCCTTCAAATTTTATAAAAATTTTCAATAATTTTAACCAATCAAAATGTGAGGGTATCTCTTTGCTCAGACCAAATCTATGGTTCATTTCTAGCAAATCTAAAAACCTAACCTTATCTCTGGTTTTTTAAATGACCATTATTTTACTTTTGCCCCAATTCTTAATGTTTAATTGTTATTCTTTTTATACAGTATACATTTCTGCAAGTTACTCCAAATTCTTTTTTGGAATGAAATACGAGAGAGAAAGAACTGGGAGAATAGCAAACTAAGAAAAACTTTGTTTGACAGAAACAAAGTCTTATTCAATTCAACAAGTATTTTTTTTGAGTGGCAAATAATGTCAGGTACTGTCGTAGTGGGATAAATCAGTGAACGAAACAAAGTTCTCTGCTTCTGTGGAATTTTTGTTCTAGTGGGAGAAAACAGACACAACCTGTGTTAGTCAACACAGTAGGTGAAAAATATTGTACAATAAAGCTGAGAAGTGCCGAGAGGAAAAATAAAAGTGAGGCAAGGTGAAGGGCATCAAACATGCGGGGGGAGTAGTTGCAGTTTTGAATAAAGTGGTGCGGGTAGGTTTCATTCTAAAAGTGACATTTGAGCATGGATTTGAAGGAGGTAAGGGAGTTGGCCATTCTGCCTTTATCCTAGCAGAGGATAAAGCCAGAACAAAGGTGCTAAGGTCAGAGCACACACCTGTGTATATGAAGAAGTGTAAAGGCTATCGGGGCAAGAGCAGAGTGAGTGGGGGGTGGGGTAGTGGAAGAGAAATCAGACAGTAACAGGCCTGACCACATGGAATACTGTGGACTACTGCAGGGACTTGGATTCTGCCCTCAGTAAAACAGAGAGCCATGGCAGGATTTGGGGACGAGGAGGATACGCTTTCTGTTGTTAAAGGATTGCTTTGGTTGTATAGAGAACATACTGCAGAGGGAAGGGAAGAATCAGGCAGAGGGGTGAGAAGTTACTGTAGTAACCCAAGGGAGAACTGATAGTGGCCGGAACCACAGTGTGGCAGTAAAAGAGGATTGCATATAGATAGAGTTTTAAGGTGTAATCAATAGGATTTTGATTAATTGGTTATGGCCCGCAATAAGAAAAGAGTCAAGGGTAACTCCAAGGTGTTTAGCATGAACCAGTAGAAGAAAGAAGTTACCATCAACCAAGATGAGGAAGAATGTATGTGGAGAAAGTTCTGGAGAAGATCATAAACCCATTCTTGACCTATTAGTTTGAGGATGTCTGCTAGAGAGGTCTAAGCAACAACTTCAAAAAGGCATCTTAATATATAAGTCTGGTGTTTGGGGGAAAGGTCTGCACTAAAGAGAAATATTTGAAGGTAACAGGCATTTAGGTAGTATCTCAACCATGAGACTGGATGAAATCACTACGAGAATAAGCGCAGATAGTAAAGACACCTAGGGCCCTCCAATATTAATGTCAAACAAAATCCTTAATCATCAAAAACTGTCTCTTGCTCTGCCTCCTATGTTACAAGAAGTATTGCATTATTTCTTTCTGTAACTGCAAATGCAGAAAGCTTTAACAGAAAAACACATTTTCTCTGCATTTCAATTAATTTGCCACTATCAAAGGGCTAAAGCTGCTATCTTTGCCTTGGTTCCCAGAAAGCAGAAACTGAGATAAGGACTTGGGTAGATACCTGATTTAGGTGTTTCCCAAAAGAAGGTGTAAAGATAGAGTAACATAAGGAGATAGGAGAGCAGATAGAGTGAGACAAGGAAGAAAGAAAAGGCAACAAAGCACAGATGGATGAGTTGGATATTACTGCAGGTGATGGGGGATCAATCTTCCTGGGATCTGTCTAAAAACTGCATACCATGCCCTGCAGGTTTGTCTCTCCAAAGGATGAAAAATGGAAGGCTAGAACACTTACGCAGCAATTACTAATCCCTTTGTTTGGTCAGTGTCCCAGAGAATTTCAACTTCCCCACTTCTGGAAAGGGCTGAGCAAGTTTAGAGGGCTTCAGAGAAAGCCCTGAGGCAGAAAAGGAAAGCAATTCTGTGGACACTTGAGGTGGGATACTGGCAGCATGTCCAGTAACAGTAACTGTCTACTATAGACTGCAGCTAAAATCAAAAGTGAGTCAATAGTACATGGTGCAGGGCACAAAAAGTAGGTATCATGACTTCCAAGTTCCGAAGTCAGCTGTCTCTGGTACCATTCATATAGAATACAATTTGAATGGTGCTCCCTAGATTTGAACAGCATGCTGACCATGTGATGGACACAGAGCAGTGAACAAACTTGGGATCTGGTAGATCACAAAGATAACTCTATGCATGATGTTAAATGCTTTCCTCTACATTCATAAAACAATTTACTTTGCAGAAGCAGTTTATTCATGCCTCTGGTCCTCCCCCCCTTTATAAAACTACATCTTAATCAATTTGTTAAAGACAGTAGAGAATGAAATGAATTGCTCCAGTTTAACTACTGCTTTTAAGGAGTAGATTTTTCTCTAGTTCACCCTTCGTTTTGCTCTTTGTGCTCAAGAGTATCACAAGATAATTCACAAATGGCAAGTGGTGACCAACATGCCACGTAAGAAATTTCCTCCTTAATATTTTCTTTAACTTCATTTGACTATCAAAAATCATGAGATTCTATATGGAACACAATGTTGCAAAACAAAGAGAAATTAAAACCCAAAGTCAGGGATCTGATTTCTAAAGCTCAAAACGGCAACTAAAAATAAGGATGGAGTTCTCCACAGTCAGTATTTCCTATAGGACTCAAAGCACAATTTATTAATAATTATTAATAATCTTTGGAACTAGAGTTCCAAAAACAGTTCATCAATTTAGGCAGAAATTCTCTAAGATAAGGGAATATATGCAGCAAGTACAAATGAGACTACTACTAAATAATAATGGACTCTTTGTTAATTTATTGAATGGCACACCTTAGGTTTAGGATTATTTAAAATTTTATATTCCTTGAGGTCAGGGGCCATAACTTATGTATGCATTTCTTTGTACACTCAGCACTGAATATGGTATTTTATACATATTGGGTATTTTGGTAAATAATTAATGATAAAAGTACTCTCTTAAAAGAATAAATTAACTGATCTATAAAA